CAGCAGCCGAGATGATGGCTTATTTGTCAACATACTACAAGAAAACTATGCTTGGATGGGGTTTTCTGATTGACTCCATATTCAGCGATAACGATCGTTTTAGATATCTAACAAAAGTCATACCAGATTCACTTCAGTAAGTTAACAATACATCAACTTACCAGTTGATATAAATTTGATTAATACCTCTTGATTGCGAATCTATTGAATCTATACTTGGGTATGGTTTGTCATAGTCATTATCAGAGCTCTCGCTTAGCTGCTGCGCGGTGCCAACTGGTGCGCTATCACATGCGTGGTCCCAGGACTTAACCCCGGCTCGATACACTCCCTCATCAACCGAATTTACCACTTCTCCGAAGTCGGCTGAATGGTATCAGACTCGTTTGAGAGAATGAAGAGCTGAATCATTCAAGGGCTAGCCACGGCAATTCACTCTATTGGGCAGGCAGGTACACGTTCAACTAGAAGTCGCAGCATGAGAGCATCGCAAATCGAGAATGATCAAGTTTTATATATTATTTGATCTTTTGCCTAGTAGAATAGCTCTACTCACGTGAAGCTCCCATTCATTTCTGATAAAATCGGAGTGTCTTTTTGAAACCTTACACTCCTCCTTCATCCCGTCGTTCATTCGTAACCCCTCCGCTCATTCTTGTTGATTTTTTTTCCTAAATCGATTATGGATTTACTCATGGGAGGTCTACCTTGGTCGCCTACAGTGAGAAGAGTAGAATTTCGATCATGTGCTTTGCAAATAGCATAGCCTATGCCAAATGTAAGTTCATCAATATGGATGAGCTGCTTCAGAGCTTCTTATTACATCATCGACGTCCTTCCTATCGTGTTTCAACTGCCAGTGAAATAAGCCTGTAATTTTACGTAATCACAAGATTCACAAATTTTCAAAATCACGAAATCAAGATTAAAAGCATAGTTCAAAGTCGCACCTAGTAGATTCGTTGTTACTGCATGAACCTCTACAGCAAATAAGCAAAAACACCTAGAAGATTCTTTTCCAAAATGAAGGGAGCACTGAGTTCTACTTTACTGCATATCGTTTCTAAAAAAACAGCATGAAACAATTAACAATGACGTTTTGTCGTTAGTTAATTCGTATTTGGGATAAGCACCAACGACTTCCTTTCAGAATTGTAGTAGCAGTGTGAATGCGCATAGGATCTACACAATGATGTGTAGTAGTCAGCTGATGTACACGTCAGCGGTTTTATCCTCCCAAACGGGTCGGGTTCCAACTTAGCGATCTCGGAGGGATGGAACTCTTAAAAAGCATGGGCGTGTGTCAAGCCTGGAATCACACCCGGGACAGAGCACGTTACCTGCCACCACTACCGGACAGCATGACTATTAGATTATTAACATATCACCAGATCTTGTCCCAAGCGACCATCTCCTGTTTTTGCCCATGGATAATCACATGAGGAATCGGCAGTTCCAAAGTAGAGAAGAGCTCGAATGGGAGTTAAATAAATTTTTCAGCTCCAAAACTCAAGACTCTTATGAAAGTAGAATATCCCAGCTTTTTCCACGATGGGAGGAAGTCATTCTTGCTGAAGGAGACTATTTTTCAGGATAAACTTTAGTTAGGCCATTTTTTTGTATATTTATTTATTCACTTGTAAAACCGCACGAACTTTTTTGGTTACCTGATAAATTAAATCAGGGGTAATTCTGTATTTGAACTCATACACTTTTTGGAAATCCACGTTTATCTGTATTTGGCCGTGACTTCTAGATTACTATTCAGAATGATGGAAACCCTTGTGCTAATGTTCCAAATGTTTGAATGGAATCGTGTAGCGATCTTCTATAATTCGAATGAAGTGAATTACTGCGATATCATTATTGACGATGCAAACGTAGGTTGATATAGGATGGTATTTAAAAGGTTGGCGATGGATTCCTTCGTATTTTTTACAGGCGGCATTTAGTGACGATTCGACTTATGTGATTGACATAGTGCAGCAGGTTGTATGGGATGGTAAGGAGAGCGATTTCATCAGGGATCAATTGCTCCGAACGAAAAACATTGCAAGAAGTTAGTGTCCACCTCGAGATTTCCAAGTTTCACACTAACATCAGTGAACTGTTTGTTTCCCTCCCAGTTCAAGCTGTTTCAAATGGGTGTGACCCATTTCAATAATGTTGAATGGGGCCTGTAAGTATAAGGTTTTTGCAATCAATTGTATTATAAGTTGAACCTGACAAATATTAGGCCTCTCAGATTTTCGGAGAGGGCTGGGCTGCAGATATTTTCCGTCTCAAAGTCCCGGGTTATCTAAAGGATGAGCTATTTGAAAGGATTGAGCTTAACTGCACAGTGCTACCTGTACCTCAGAAGGCTTTAACTCTTCCTGATCAATTCTGTCATTTGCGGCTCCAAAGTAGCCGACAGACGGCTGCATACATGACGGCAGACGTAGCGGTCATAATGAAATGCAGACCAATGCTGTTTACTTTTGTTACTCTTTAGTAATTGTGATATGCCTCGATACACCAAAATCTCGCCGCAACTTCATGAAAATTGTTTCTCAGTTGGATATGGTTTCGGAGGAATATGTGTATGTAATGCTCGGCATGCGAGGATTCGCATTCGGTGAGTCTCTTTCAACTTATTCTGATATTTCATTTCTTTTTGCAGTCATATACCATACTTCCTTCAGGTCAAGTACCAATAGGAGTTGATGAACGTGAGTGTTTTCAGCTATTGTGAATTACTGAACTACTGTGGAATGCAAAAAAAGAACACTTCTGTTAAATTCTCCCGAAACGCAGTGCTCCATTTTGGAAGGGTTCACTGTTACGAAAATGTACCAATCCCAGGAAGTAGATCTTCGAAGATTCAAATTAGACTGGGAGCCAGTCGAAGGTAGTTTGTTGTACATGCTATGTGAAGATGAGATACCTTTCGCATTCGGACTTTGTAGCGTAATTTAATAATATTTGAATGACAACTGACAAGCGGAAACATGCGGGGGTTCTGAGCATCTTTCGTATAGATTGTGTTTCCGAAAAATTTGAACGCGCTCGAAAGTCACATTGTGGTAACAAAAATCCCACAATGTTTGTATTGTTTGCTGGTAGATTTCCTCTGTCGTAACTAGTAGGATTGAGAGCACCTGTTGGGGAGGGAGCCGCCATGAAGAAGATCTGCATTTCCAAAGCCTTTCTCCTCTCTGTCTCAAAAAGAAATCATTGTTCTATGATTATAATTGCTGCCGAACCTCATTTCAGGTAACAAAGCGGCTCCAATCAGCACACGTAAGATATTTTCATGAGTTGCCTATTTTTCCGTGTCGCTAAGTGGTGTAACCTGATATTGAGAAGCATTGCAGTATCTTTGCATTACAGTGTCCAATGGGTTGACGCCATTTTGGGAAGATCTGGACAACAATCACGCCGACGATGCTATTGTGAAGGATGCAGCCAGAAGGATGCTGACGGCAAATTTTATTCAAACAATTACTTTTGCCAAACGTGGAATTGAAGATCGGCCGTGACGTTGTTTAGGTGGACATAAATAGTGACGATGTCGATCCAAAGAAATTGAAAGATTTCCAAGAACACGTGGTGGCACGAGTACGCGAAGATCCACTCTATTGTAACACGCCAGCGTGCTTGTCGAGTGATGGAAAGCCGGTATGCACAATTGGTTTAAACGGGCTCCCTGCTCGGTATAAGTGCATTATATGAGTAAGTGGCTCAAGAAGAAAGATTGGTGAGGATGGTCAGCTAAAGTAACTTACTAATTGCCTATGAAAGAAGGGTTAAGGACTAGTCATTTTAAGCCTTTATTTATTTATTTATTTATTTCTGGACGCAGCTAAACTACGTGGTGTTGTACAATGCAATGAAAAATAAAAACGAACTCCACTTTGCCGATGAAAGCTACGATATAATGAAGAGAGACGACATTAAAGTATAAGCGAAATTATGAAACAATACTGTGAAATCAGTCTACACGACCAATCATATGAAGAACGATCGTATGTATTAAGAAACCTCCGCACTGGCCAATTTTATTGCTTTATTTTTGAAAGATCCGTGGGAACAGCGCAGCGTATTCTCGTCAAAAATTTTATTCAAGATGGGTAGCACTCTAACCGCAAAAAACTTGGCTCTGACCTGTGTACTTATTACAGAAGAC